CCCCCCCCCCCTCCCGCTCTCTCATGCCTCTTAAGAGATAATGCAAGCTCACCCCTGGGAGGCTAACTGCATCTTTAAAGATGTTGATGTCCTTATCAGTGTAGAAGGCTCTTATCTTTTCCAAGGCTTCTAACCCTGGCGCTGCATCAAGATCGTTGCAGTAGCATAACTAATATGCAAACTTTTACATTCTCTTTTCTTTAAAGATTTTCTTGCACTCTTGGAATTCTGAAAGACTGAGGACATATTCACCATTCAATTGTAAATACAATGCTGGGTAAACCGGCAGCCCATGATACTTCAGCTTTTCAGGGCTATTGAATTACTCGTAAGGAAAACCAGATTTCTGAGCAGAGCAGTTGTACGCCTTTACCCATTTTTCGTGCCTGGTTCTTGGCCTAAGATAGTTGATAATGTCAACAAAGTGGAAGCCATTTGTCTTCATGAACATCATTGTGTTCGCCTTTTTTCCTACTTGGACATTGGTTGTTGCATCAGCCAACAGCTCTGCGAAATGCTCTTTGATCAGATTCAGGTCATAATGCCCACAGTTGAAACCAAGAACAGGCACCTGGTCGCACCATTCCACTGTGGCTCTCTGCTGCTTTCCTGGAACCAGGTCAATGTCTTCTGCCATGAACTCCACTCTTACCACGGCCCGAATGTTTCTCCCACACCTCTCTAACTCTTCCATAAACTTTCGGATCAGCTGTTTTGGGTTTCCACTGCAGATATGCGTGGGCTCGCATTTAATTGTGTTGCCAATGCTCACCAAAATTGGGACATGGGCGTTTTCACACTTGAGCAATGTTGAGACCTCGTTTCGCTGTTCTTTGTTGTGAAACGATTCAAAATCGTAGAAGAGGGCATTAAGGTAAGTTCTCATTTCTTGTTTTGGCAGAACTTCTCGCACTTTTTGATCTTCACACTCCCATTTCTCAATAACGTGGTAGCCTACCGCTTGGAGTGCTCTTGTATGTTCCACTATTGCAAGATATCTATCTTCTCAAGTTTAGTTGTGACAGACAATTTTGTTCCGGCTTTTTGTAAAACATACATGACATCAGTGCCAGTGGCAGCCATGGTATTGGAACACAGTCCTTGTAGTTGGGTCATAACCATCCACAAGTGCGCCCGCAAGCCACCTCTCACCTCTGCATGATGGATATGTTTTCCTCGCTGGCTGCTCTCTCGGATAAGCCACGCAAGTGCTGATGGTGAAGCTTTGTTGTTTGCAGAGAAAGCTCTCTCGTAAGCTGTCTGTGGAACTTTGACCTGCTTGTTTGGACAATTGATCATTGTTCTTCCTTCCGCACATGTTTAAGCATGTCTTCCCAATTTAATTAACTCTTTGCAAGCTCTCTCACGACTTATGTGCTTCGATCAGCCCACGCTCTGCAGTAAACAGCAATGCAGTGCCAAAGACACAAGTTATCGTTAAAAGTATCTAGCGCCACCATCGCACAGCCGTGAGCAAGGTTGCGCAGCCAGTCTGGCAACAACCCTGTGCCTAACATTGGTTGGTTATCGTGCACCACCTTCACTTCCGTTCCCATTTACTTGTACACCATATTTGTTTAAAAAGAAATTTTGAGGTGCGTGTGATGAGTAATAGGTAGTGTATTCAACAAATACTGGCAAATTTTGAGCACTTTAGCCTGACTTGCCGGTGAGTCCACAAGAAGGCGAGTCGCACTAACTAAAGCAGTCACAAATTTGCCAGTATTTGTCGAATATACCACCTACTACCAGGGTTGCCATTTGAGGGCAACTAAACATCCCTCGGTAGGGAATCTCCATTCTGCCACAAAGCTGTTTACTTTGTCACACTGAGCTGTGATCAAAGAAAGCTTTGAAAACTACTTGTGTCCAGTACTCCACAGTGCTGTAGCAAGGGAAAAAAAACTGGGGGGGGGGGGGCACAGAATCAAGCACCGAAGGCACGAGCTGCTATGGGGGCCTGGGGGCATTTGGAAATCTAGAAGTTCGGAAAATGCTATTTCCAGCGTTCTTCAAAAGTTATTTGTAATTTACACGTATCACGAATTACTTCCTAGACTGTCTCAGCAAAGCAGTGCAGACTGAAAAAAGTATAACACTTGTGAAGTCAATTACAAAATAACAAAACCGACTGTCTATCAAGCAAGTGTTTCACCTGTCAGAGACTCAGAGTCAGGTACTGTCTGTGTTGCCTTAGATGCAACCAGAGACTTCATCAGCATGTCGTTTTATGAAAACTTCCCAAACAAGTGCTTGCGCCACTGGTTGTACCCCACAAACAAATTGGCGACCTCCACCATGTCAATACCATCTGCCAATTCCTTGTGGACACGCAGAAGCATGAGGTAGTTGAGCCTTGTCTCTCCCGTGGTTGAGCTCAGGTAAGTCTTTAGCGCTTAAAGCGTAGAAGGAGCGCTCGCTGACAGTGTTGGTAGCTGGCATGACAAGCATAAGCTTAACAAGGGTGCAAATCTCACTCAATAAGAGTTTACGAGCATTTCTGAGTGACTGAAAAAAAGTCCAGCAGATCAGCAATGTCAAATCTGGAGGTCTGCCTGCACCATTTCTGGAAGCAGGGACAGGTGGGGTTCTAGCATGTACTGCTACAAGTCAGTATCCCTGTACACTGCCATCATTTTTGCCAGCTTTTCGTTGTGGTCTTCAACTTTTAATACATGTCTGGTTTTACTTTTGGGGCAAAAAAAACTGGGGGGCATGGGCTCCCCAGGCCCTCCCCTTGCTACGGCTCTGCTCCACCTCCTGGTGAAATGCCTGGCAACTAAGCTATAAACGAACAAATGAAAGTGTTCTTGTTGTTGAATGTGAAAAACTGACTGGAGTGAAAAAATACTGGTTGAGAAATACCAGAAGAAGATCAAACATATGTCAAAGTTAGTAGACATCATGTCCAAAGCATTATAGAGCTAAAATTATAGGTAAGAGTTTCATTTTGAAGTATTCTCTGTTTTCAGTGGTAGTGAGTTTAAGCGGGTTTACATTCAATTAACAAGAAAGGTACATGTAAAACATCTTTCTCAAGACTTTCTTTCCAAAAAACATTTTTCGCTAAAGCGGCTCACGCTGAAGGAAAGAATTGGAGGGAGGAGCCAGACCGATTTCTGTTGGCATACCAGTCAACACCACATTCTACTGCAGGAAAGAGTCTGTTGAATTATTGTGTAGAAGGCTTACAACCAAAATGTCTGAGCTTGTTGATGAAGTCAGCAACCAAGCCGTCTGTGATCAAGACACCCAGAGAAACCAGTCTAACAAGGACTATGTCGATAAGAGGTTTCACGCCAGAGACCAAGAAGTGCAAGGAGGAGACATTGTGCTGCTTAAAAAGAAGAAAGAAAACAAGCTGTCACCTTCCTATGAAAAGGCACCATAGCAGGTAATGTCTCGTTACGGGGACCAAGTGGTATTGCAATCACCACAGCGAGTTCAGTGTGAGCGAAACCTTCAGCATTAAACATTGAATATGCCAGATCAGGAGGATCAGGGACCTTCACCAAAGGATGTTGGACCACCTCCTGAACCAAAGGACAACCAAAATACCACCTAAGAAAGAGAATCCCGTACCAATGGCAGAGGCACCACCAGGTTGTACCTACTGCTGTAGCAGCCATTGAGGAGATCCAGCAGAATCACTAGCTGTCCAAAATTTCTGAGTGATTATGTTCTATATTGAACTTTGTGAAGTTTACATTGTCGCATTCATTGTGTTGTTGCAAGTGACATTTGAACATTATGAACTGATCTTCAAGGACCATGTTTATTCCCAGTCAGAGTGACTTTCTTTCGTTTTGAATACACTTGTGTATGAACCGAACGCTAAGAGCATGTTTAATTAAGGAACTACAAGTTTGTTATATTTCTATGTTGTTTGAAATTAAGCATATAACTGCAAGAAGAGAAGGATGTAGTGTATTAGTAAGGAGAGCGGTTGAACCAACAAGTGCATGTACATCTGGGACTTGTGTGAGTGTGTGTGAGCAGGAACAGACCAAGCAAGGTGTAGTAAGTTGCTCATATTAAAAGGATATGTTCTAGCCTTTGTGGCATGCCTCGGTGGCTTTGCAACACATTTCCTAAGGTGAAACAAATTCTTTTTTTTTTTTCAGTATGCATCAATCATAACCAAGCAAACTTGTTGGATTAACCTTATTATAACTGTTAAGAGTCCACTGAGTGCTGCTACCTCCAAGGGCTTCTAATTCACAAAAAAAAATAACTCTTGCATGCCTTGCGTGTTCAGTGTTGTGGTGTACTGGGAACTAGCCTACATCCGGGAACCACATGGAAACATTGTTGTTGATTAAAGCATGGTGGTTTTGCTGTGATTGCTGACTTCGTGTCGTTTTATTTTGATTACAAACACTGTATGGGTGAGTATTACAAACACTGAGTGTGCATCAGAGTGACGAATCAACTGAAATGTTAAATTAATGTATTTTACAAGGACATAACAGACCACAAATCCAAGTAAATCACAACGGTTCCAGTTCCGGTTCCTGGATTCCATATTTTCCATATGCCTCCTACAGGGTATTTTCCACAAACCTGCAGTGGAACAAAGTTGCCTTTTCCCACCATTTCCACCTTTAAAAGCATTTGGTTTGCCCTTCTCTGCTCTGTCATCTTCATTGCTTTCTCCATCTTCTTCCTCCTCATCATCATCATCATCATCATCTTCTTCTTCCTCATCCTCTTCATTACCATCTTCTTCCTGAAAGCAATAACAAAATCAAACAACTATTTATCATAATATTAACCTATGGAAATGGCATAGCTTACAACCATGCTTCTCTTTTCCACAATAAGAGAAGACTAAAGAAGAAGAAAGGAGAAAAGAAAGGGATAGTCCTGGGAATAATGAATTTTTATCTATTTTTTACATGTTTTGTATTTTTTGCAACCATATATATCTTTTAGGATTAACTAGTTTTAATTTTTATTGAATAAGTGAAACGTACTTGATCATTTCATAGAAAGTAGCGCTGTAAAAATTATTATTACTACTATTATTACAGGAGATGAACATCAACTCCTTTAATCAGGCCTTCATGGAAGCGGGAGAGAAGGTCCTTGGATTTAAAAAGAGGAAGAAGGAGGAATGGATACAAGGGGAGACCTGGGAAAAAATAGAAACAAAGAGAGGAGTCAAGCAGCGGATGAACTCCACCCAGTCAGAACACTTTCATGACCAGCTGAGGAGAAAATACTCAAAACTGGACCATCAGGTGAAAAAAATGACCAAACTAGACAAGAGAAAATTTGTAGAGTGACTGGCAGTTGAGGCAGAAGAGGCTGCTGGTAGACAAGATCTGACGACCCCATATAGAATTAACAAAATGTTAAATAATGGTTTTCAAAACAGCGATGTCCCTGTAAAAGACATAGATGGCAATGTTCTTTTGAAAGAAGCAGAAAAGCTGGCACGCTGGAGGAACATTTCGAGAGCATTCTAAATAGGCCAGAACCTGAACAAGTAGCTGAGATTCCACCGGCAGTAGAGGACTTGGATATCTGCATAGATCCACCTAACATGGAAGAGGTGAAAGTTGCCATCAAAGCGATGAAGAGCAGGAAGGCAGGTGGAGCAGATGGAGTGACAGCAGAAATGCTCAAGGCTGAAGAAACTGAAACACCATGCCTTCTGATGTGCATATTCAGAGAGATATGGGAGAGAGAGAGACGATTCCTGAAGCGTGGAAGACCGGACTCATTGTCAAATTTCCCAAAAAGGGTGATTTGGGTGACTGCAACAACTGGAGAGGCGTCACTCTGCTCCCCATTACCAGCAAGGTCTTCAGCAAGATCATCCATACAAGACTGGCTGCAACACTGGATAAGTACATCAGGCAGGAACTGGCAGGTTTCCGCCCTGGATGCTCGTGCTCTGACCACATTTTCACCCTAAGGCAAATTCTAGAGCAGAGCAAGGAATGGAATGCTCCCCTGTATGCCAACTTTATTGACTTTGAGAAGGCGTTTGACAGCATTCACAGAGATTCCCTGTAGAAGATATTAAGGCACTAAGGGATTCCATCAAAGCTGGTAAATGTCATCAAGATGCTTTACAGTGACTTCAAGTCCCAGGTTATTTGCAACACAGTGCTTATGGACGCCTTCAGCGTGACCACGGGTGTGAAACAAGGGTGTATTCTCTCCCCCTTTCTGTTTATCTTGGGGATCGACTGGGTTTTGAAACAAGTGACTAGTGGTGGAAGAAGAGGGATTAGATGGACATTGACCAGTGTCTTGGAAGACCTTGATTATGCAGATGATATTGCGCTGCTCGCCCGTCGACACCAGGACATGCAGGCCAAGACCAATGCCTTGGCAACTACAGCAGGGAACTTAGGCCTGAAGATCAATATTAAGAAGACAAGGCATCTGAGGATGAGTGGCAGAACCAATAAATCCATCATGGTGAATGGGGAAGTGGTAGATGAGGCTGATCACTTTACCAACCTGGGATCTAAGGTGTCCACCGGCAGAGTTGGAGAAGAAGAGATCCTAGTCCAGATCTCAAAGGTAAGCCAGGCCTTTGCCTCACTTCCAGGCACTTGGAGATCCAGGAACATCAGCCAGAAGACAAAGATCCGATTCTTCAAAAGCAATGTCTTAAGCACTCTACTGTATCTTGCAGAATCCAGGAAGACGACCAAAACCATCAGCCACAAGCTAGAAGTCTTCCAGAACAAGTGCCTTCGCAGGATTCTCCTTATATACTGGCCCCAAACAATCTCAAACTATGAGTTGCGCAGAAGAACAGGAACAGAACCAATCACACAGCAAGTCTGCCGAAAGAGATGGAAATGGATTGGTCATGTGCTACGCATGCCAACAGCAGCACTACCACGAGTTGCCCTCAGGTGGACCCCTGATGGCCATAGAAAGAGAGGCAGACTGAAAGAAACATGGAGGAGGACAGTGGAAAAAGAGATGAAGGAGAACAGCTGGTTGTGGTTATTGTTATTGTTATTATCATCATTATTACCAATAACCACCATTATTACCATAACCACCTGTGCAAAAACCCCTCCAATGCGTAGCCGCCAAAAAAAAAGCATGTGGGGACAATTGCCTTTCCTACCCTCCCTGAAGACTTTTGGATTCCCTTATTGTACTATTGTTCTTGAGGACAAATAAACCAATCAGAATGGACTTCCTTAGCATATTTTCAGAGGACTTTATAGATCCTAGAAAGACAGTACTGTTTTCCTTCTTAAAATTGTGCGCTCACTGCAGGTAATCATGGCGCGTTACCGGCCAAATCTAAAACCTTCCAAGGTCTTGTTTTCAATCCTAGCACGGAGAAATTACTGCTTTGGGATATAATTAAGGTGGCCTCCGAATGGCAGATCAAGGAGTACAGAGTCCTCAAACTTTTCTGGTGAATAATCTTTTCTTCCTACAGCCGCCGCAAAAACATGAAGATCAGTGTGCTTTGAAGTAAGTTTGGAATAGATTTATACAGATTGCAGATTTAAA